GGGACGGCTAGCGCAGATAGCCCTCGTGTAGCTTTGCGCGAAATTCAAAAACAAACAAACAATCATACGTGGGTCCCGTTTCTACATAAAAAAATAGAAATCGGTCTGCTGTTGAAAGCTCTTGATTTCACAAAGTTCACAACACGTACAGCATCTTGTAGCACTATTTGCTTCGGGCTACAGTTTTTTTCTGAAATTAGGCTCTCCTATGTATGAAGCAATGTATAAATGTTAAACCTGGAGCAAGAGCACTTACTTTGACTCTGAACCCTTTATTGTTTCCCATCAATGCCGCTGCTTCATCAATGCACATCTCAACACAATTAATTGTTTGTAGTGAAAAACAAATCAACAAGAGAGAAGATGGCTTTCTCTGTAGTTCTCTATTCCAGTGCTTGGCAAAACAGAAACTCTTCACACAATTCCTCTTCGTAACAGTGTTGTACAAATATCAGAAACTGAGTTAAATTTTGCAACACCTGTGGTTCCATTAAGTTGTATAGTGAATTTCGGGCTGTTCTGGATGCGTGTTATCAACTGTATTTTTATGTCAACAGGTATTACATCTATACGGCTTGCTAAAGCACCATACGTCTCTCCATGCATGATTTCAGTTGTTTCACTTGTCACCTGAAGAACTCAATGGCTTTACCCATATGTTCAGGGTGTTTGTTTTCCGAATGTTTTGTAAGTTTATTTGGCTTCATGCTGTCATTAGCTAAAATCTGGGAGCAACTGACACACTGCGGTTGTTTCTCGTTATTAACAACTTTGAAAATGAAACCGGATTTTAAATAATCCTCCTGGTACTTAGCACTTTAGTTTTTGGTTTCATGTTCAGTTTACCGACGGAAGCAGTGGAAGTGCTTGGTCCAGCTAGAGAGTCATTAATTTGTTGTTCTTCGTTATCACCCTGAGCCGTCATCGAAGAACCATGAGACCGTTTTTTTTTGCCGATACATAACACTCTCTTATTCAACTTTTTATCAAGTTGAATAGAGTTTCTTAAACATTTGTTTAACAACAAGTAAAAAGCTTGGAATGGTCTATTCTTGCATTGGGGGGGGGGGGGTCTGTGGGCCAGATTAGTTTCGGAAAATTCCACTCCTCATCAGTGATCCTGGACACTACCATCAATGAAACTTCGAAGAAAAACCAAGCCTTTATAGTAATGAGGTATCGAAAATCGAAGTGGTGTATTTAAGTGTTTTACACTCACAAAAAGAAACCTATCATTCTATAGGTATTTGAAGAACTTGTAGCATTCCGCCACAATTTAATTCTTCGGATTATTAGCCGACACTAGGCAGCTGGTACGTAATTGGATTGGTAAATGTACACTAAATGACAAGCTGACAAATGAGTAAAAATTAAATAAAACAATTCATGATATCTCGGCCATCCAATGGACAGTCATCTTGCTTTTTCTTTCTTGGAATGTAGCCATGACTACGGACTACTTTCCTATATTATTAGTTTATAAATAGAATACTATGATATCTTGAGGCCCGGCATGGCCAGGTGGTTAGGGCGCTCGACTAGCAATCTGAGGGTCGCAGGTTCGAATCCCCGTCACACCAAACATGCTCGCCCTTTCAGCCATGGGGCGTTATAACGTACTATTCGTTGATAAAATAGTAGCCCAAAAGTTGGCGGTGTGTGGTTGATGACGAGCTGGTCCTCTAGTCTTACACTGCTAAATTAGGGATGGCTAGCGCAGATAGCCCTCGTGTAGCTTTGCGCGAAATTCAAAAACAAACAAACAAACCTTGTTTCGTAATTTACAGATTTCAAATTATTGCTAGTGAACAACGAGGTGTAGTGTTTTGGGACAGCTAATAACCACTACCTAGAAAAAAAAATGTATTAGATTTTCTATGTCTGGAATAGTGAACAGCGAAGTGCAGTGTGTTGGGACAGCTAAGAGCCACTACAAAAAACAAAGTATTAGATTTTCTATGCCTGGAGTGAGAAAAATTTTGCCAGTTTGTACGAAACTTTTCGTTTACAAAGTTATTTGTATTTATGAGGCATTAATTCCACGCTAAAAAGTAAGAGAAAGGGTTGTAACCCATCATAGGCGAAGGAGATAGGGTAGGTGGCACCGAGGGCATGTGTTCTAATTTTGTTCCATTAGCGAAGTTCCTATTTGAATTTGGAAGAGAGACTTGTGTATAATTTTAATGGAAAGTCACGGTTAGCATAACAAGTAATGCCCCCCCAATCGTCGGTGCCCCCCTCCCTCAAATTCAAATATGTTTCGCCGCCTATTGCAACCGATAAACCGTTTTTCCCGACAATTAATTAATGAAAAGCGTTGGTTCTCATGATGCCTTAACTTAAGCATCGAAGTTCAGGTGAAAAACTCATTGCATGCTTTGGATTAACAGCTTCAGGTTTGATTGTTGTTAGATGTAAAGCTACACAAAGGGCTGTCTATACTCTGCCCACCACGAGTATCTAAGTCCGATTTGTAGCATCTTAAGTCTGTAAACTTACTGCTGAGGTACGGGGGGGGGATCTTAAATATTTCTCGGGGAAGAAACGTTGTTGTTTGTAGCTCAAAGCTACACAATGGGCTATGTGAGCTCTATCCACTGCAGGAATCGAACCCCGGATTTGAGCGTTGTTAGACAGTACACTTACCACTGACCCACCGGAGGACGTATAGGTTTGAAGTCAATCTGGAGAATGATTGATATATGACTATGTTGTCACAACCATGAAGAATTGTGAGTAATATCATGGTCTGTTTAAACTTCTTTGGACTGATCCACTGGAAGTAATCAATATAAACTTGCTCTGTCGTATTAAGACATTGTGGATAATGCTGCGCTACTTGTTTCGATGGGATGGTATTAGAAGAAAGAATACTTTATTTAGCATCATGCTATACGCCGTGTCCAGCAGAAGTTTAAGACAAAATATATCATCTCAAGTCTTTGTTTGGTTTTCACGTGTAGTTCTTTACTCACTACTAATAACCTAAAATACTTTGGGTGTTTAGATAGAATTCGACGTCCCAATTAATTATCCAGTTTTATTCAGCAGACGAACTGTCTACTCACTTTGTTGGTAATTTCCTCTACGTCATCTTTTCTTCAGTGTAATTGTGACCTAAACTCAACGACTACTCTAGCATGTTCTGGAACACTGCCTGACGGAGATGGGGAGGTGGGGGGGGGGGGGGAAGCCCAGTAATTTTATTACACTCAGAGCTGCTTTACAGATAAGTGGCGGTATATTCCACCAGATATTTATCAGCGGTGGCAAGTGTAAGTTGCTGTGATTAACACCAAAAGGCGAACCCAATCATATTAGAGAAGTATTCTGGCAATGAAATACAACTTGCCCTTCTCTTCGATCATATCGTGTACAATAGACACGCTAGCGATCTAATCATTGTCAGTAACCTTGAAAGAATATTAGTATCGACCTAGGCATAGAAACGTCTGTAGGCTTGTAAAGTAAATTAACATATATATATATATATATACACTGTTAGTTTCAAGTCTGTATTAAAATTTTGTTTAATATTATATATTTATATATGTTCGCGAGAATAACCGAAAATAATATTAGCTGTAAACTTTAGTGTGAAAGTGGTATTTATAGACGAAAGTGACTGGCTGACGTCGTGTCTATGTCATCAGTATTGATCGTTTCCATGGCGTGATATTCTGTTAATGCTGTTGGTCGACATATCCATTCGCGTGGTTCAGGTTGGATCTGCCCATCACTGACATCGTAAGGCGGGAGTGTTCCGGTGTCGGTGATTTTTCAGTATTGTACTAGCAAGTTTCAAACTTTCTTTGCCAGGATTTTATGAGTAAAAGTATCATTTCTCTTAGTGAAAAACAAATAAAAACAGTAACTAATAAATTAAAATACTAAGCTTGTAAATTTGTTTAAAAGTGATAATTTTTACGGAAATTTTATCTCTTAACCCACTATACATATATATATATATTGCTAGGCCTAACGCTTGTGTTGAAGGTGAATTTCCCGGTGAACTGAGATTTGTATATGCCTGATAGACGTTTAGTTTCTGCTTGAGAGTTGAAGACATCGTTATATGTGATATAAGACTACCAAGTAGCACAATCCAAGACTGCAGCAGTGGTAAATTAAAATAAGTGTTCAGTTTTCTGCTTCACTTTTACTTTGTTGCAGTTTGATTTTAATTTAGGTATCAAGGTACGTAACTTACGAAGCATCTTTTTTTTTTTTTTACTTGATAACTATAGGCTTATTTTCCTACCATAAAGTTGATTTTATTTGTGGGTTCGAGAGTAGAGGTTAAGAACTGAGTGCGTATATGCCTGAAAATAGATCCATTCAAAAAAGAACGTGGGCCTACCTTGAGTTATCCAAATCGAACAAAATTTGTTGAAACCGATGTAAATAAATAAAAAAAGACCAAAAGTCCAGTCAAAGCTGAATAATAGTGATAATTAAATAGCATCATATTTCAACCAAAATAAAACAATTTGATTTATTTTATGTTATTAGTAGTATTTTTCTATTCCTTTTTAATTCCTCTCTATTAAATTAATAGTTCTGAACTTTTGGTTGTGTGTTGGGTGTCATTTGTGGTTTGACTTACTTATTTTCGGTTTTTGTTCGTTTCAAAAAAATTTTTGATACAGTGCTGTTCATTTTTAACTTTTTTATTTCTTTACACGTAAGTTTATAGTCTTCTCGAAAATAATTATTATTTGTGTGAAATATAAAACTGTGTAGTTATGATAATAATTTCATGATTGTATTATTTCCAGTCCTTTTTTTTTAAAGTGAACTTTTCGAAAATCATACGTAATGGTGTGTCTGTGGTTACGTTTTTTATTATTTGAATAATAATATAAAACGTAAATATAATAGCTTAGATGTCCATCTTTATTACCTTTCATTAAAATTTGAAAACTCTTGAACGAAGCGGTTTTCACGTTATGCAGTAGACCAGCAGTACATATATGGACTAACCCAAGAAGTAGTGTGATTGTGAAGACTTGCGTCATAGGTCGCCTATAACGTTCACCTTTTTCTCACAAATAATACGAGGCTTTGAAACAGCTCTTATCCCCACAAAACCTCATATAACGTTCACCTTGTTATTTTTTGTCAATTCCATAATCTTATAGCGCTGACTTGTCCCCATCATAATTCAAAAAGTACCCAAACATTTTTAACGAAAAGAGTTTGACTTTAATAAGTGTTAATTTTATTTTGAAATTAAATACCTTAAGTTCTAAGCCTACCTACAATACAATGTTTCATCGTTATAATGAATTTTCACTAGATCAGTTTTAAATTAATTAGAAAATGAAATCACTAAATATATTTGAACCTGAGATATGAAATATAGGTAAAAGCGAGAAATTAAGCAACAAATCGGAGACAATCTAGTGGTTCGTTACTTCGAGAGCCTTAGGCGTTAAACAATAAACTTTCCATGGTGCATACAGAATAGTGTCTTGGACGATTTTGTTTGTCATCGCGTTCAGCCCAGTTACGAATGACCCATGGACAGCGACTTTTGGCACATAGAAGATAAATTGAAAATAACATTTTTACACGCATGCGACCCCGAACATGTGCAGTCTAGTATGCATTTTGACAAGAAATATTAGGCCTATTTGTTTCATTACTTCACCGGCTTTCAGTGTTAAACATATTAACCTTAATCTTTATTAAGAAAGATAATTTTCAAGGTAAAGGTATCTTACCCGTTCCACTTCTTCCAGTTATGTTGATGATTTAGAACTGGTTTTTTGTTGTTTTTTTCTCCCTCGAATTCTACTCTGGTTTTTATTTAACCTTGGTGGATTGGTATATATATATATTGTTATCAAATTAAACTTATTATTGAATGTTTCGTGTTTTAATTCTCAAACAGGTTTATAAAACACAAAAGGAAAAAAATCGGTTACGACCAAGGGTGGGACAGATATTGGTTGTGGTCAGATTTCGGTTTTTGATATTCGGATGTTTCGGATCAGATAATAAATGTTTATGGAACATGCGCCGCAGCCGAGAACTACCACTTCAGTATAGTGTTAAACTAGTTACTTCATCATGTTATTTTGAAAGTTCGATTTTTGTTTGTTTCTTGAATATCGGGCAAATCTACTCGAGGATTATCTGCACTTGCCGCCCCTAATTTAGAAGAAATAGTTGGGTTATTCTAATCGTATAGTGGGACTGACCATCACATTAAAACTCCCCTACGGCTGAAAGGACGAGCATGTTTGTTGACGGGATTCGAACCGCCCCAATATTGCGAGTCGAGTGCCCTAATCACTAAGTCATGCTTGGCCGTCGAAAATTTACACAAGGATGAGTTACCACTTCATTATAGTAACACAAGTAATATGAAAAACAAAAAAATAAGGATGATGTAGGGATGGCAATGCCAAAAAGTACAGAAACAAGGTAGGGATAAATACACAAAACCATACAAAAATCCCTACATAAGTAGCCAAATATTTCCAAGAAAAACTTTTATCTGCAGCTAAACGTTGAATTCCTTTCCCTTGCATGAATTCAAGTTTAAATAAAAGCATTCTAATTGAATAATGCTATATAGTCTTACAATGGCTAATTCACATAAGCTTCTAACATTGACTCAGTGGCTACTTATGTAGTGATTTTTATATGGTTTTGTGTATTTATCCCTACCTTGTTTCTGTACTTTTTGGCATTGCCATCCCTACATCATCCTTATTTTTTCAAAGCAGTTTTTATTACTTGTTTCCTCTCTCTCTCTTTTTATTTTTTTAATGAATGGTAGTCGCTATGAAGGCAGCAGTTTTAACCAGGCATGGTGAGTTGTCTTGGTGGACATCATGTATTGAAGTTAGTGAAATGCTCTACTGCTTCTCTACTCCCCAAGTTAAAATGCAACATTTTGGTGTGTAAATCCTCGCAAGCATGGGTGAGCTAGCCGTTCTGATGCTAGAATCAGAATAATCAGGAGAACATTTGGCTGTTACGCTACTCGCTGGTTCTCTAGTTTAGTGATGTTTTTTTGCTAAATTGAAGATCTTAATAGCTTTTTAAAAACTCGAAATCATAAGTTACATGTTAATAAAGTCGCGTACATTGTTATAAGAAACATTTGAGACTATGATGAGTAATACTTAATATGCGACGGCCATTTTTTTCCCGGCCCACCCCTACATACTAGTATTAAACTAGTGTTTATGACAAGTGTCTCAGCCAAAAGTTTGAGGACTTAATAGGCTAAAAATCGAGTTTGGTGGGAACAGCACAGGTTGCCCATTGTTTATCTTGGTGTGCTTATCAACAAACAAACAAAACCTATGGCATACAATGATAACACAATGGGTGGGATGTTTATTTAAATTACATAACCATTATCTTTATTGCGATTAACAGGGCTCCCACTCTTTAATAACAGAAACATATCACTAATTTAAATTTTTTTAGAAGTTAGTATAAATCACCAGAGGACTAGATGACGCAATAATCCATTGATGGATATATATATCATCTGGTTATCCGATTCATCGCAAAATTAATATCGGATCGGACACTTGTCTCCTTACTCATAGCAACATTTCTCAGAGACGGTCGGGAATTAAAATATTTTTGGCGGAACAAAAGTGAAATGAGATTCAAACTATTCAGTAAAATGTGCACGTGAGTAACATGAACTACAGAAAACTTTCGCACTATATGTAACTTTGGCACATATAAAATATTTTGTTCAAAAAATAAAATCTACTTAAAACAGGTTGCTATATATAGTTGAATGTAGTATATAACGTATATGTAACATTTGTAGAAATGTGTTTTATTGTGAGTTGTGGGTGACCTGACGCAATTTTTTTATTTTTCTGTTTTACTTACAGATTGTTATTGTTTCTACCACGGCCGAGATTTGTACCATTTAAAACTATGAATTTAAGAAAAGTGTAAGATATGCACACCGTTTCTCCTTCGCTGTACATAAAATCGTCATTTTTTTGTCATAATATTTGCAACACCAAACAGCTTACTTATGATAATAAATAAAAAAAACAAAAATATAAAATTGTTTTTATTCTTTGATAGATTATTTATGTAGAGTATTCATGATGAGCAAACTGGAACGGACAGCAACTGCCTGTTGTAAAAAAACACAAGTGTAGAGGACGTCGTTTCGAAAGTCTTTCGACTTCTGATGACGAAAGACTTCCCAAACGTAGTCCTTTACACTTGCGTTTTTTTACAACTAGCAGTTTCCGTCCATTCCAGTTTACTCATCACGGTTTTTATTCTTATTTTATTTTTCCCAATGCAGCAGACTGCAGTTTCATTGATTGCAGAAGGTGGATTCAAAATTGTACTTGCGCCATTATGACGTATAGAAAGGAATATACCTCCTTGGGATTGACTTTTACACATCTTTGATTTGAAATCCATAATAGACTAATTAAAAAGTAAAAAAAAGTACAGTCTAGAGTGTGATTTCTAGTGTGATATAAGGTATATTATGCTTATTTCTGAGAACTTATGCATGAAACTAAAGTAGAATGTATAACAATTTGCCAAACACACTATTTCTGATAGAACCTGTGCTGAAGATTCCTTTTGCCCAATACTAGGGCTCATCAGACCGGCTGGGATACAACAAATATAGTAGTGTTAGTTGATACGCTATTTATATCATCATACGAACAACAACTGTTGTTGTGGGAACTATATTAAATTAGCTTGTTCATTTTACATATTAAGGACACCAAAGTCTCTTAGTTTTTTTTATTTATTTTTTGATACTGATTAGGAGATATGCATTTACGTATGAATACTTTTTTCTCGGTTAGCCACTCACCTAAAACCTGAGGGAGCTTGATGGTGTAAATAGAACGTTTTTTTTTTCTTTTTTAGATTCAAAGCAAAACAAAATTAGTATGCTTAAGAAACCACTTAAGTATGAGGAAGTTACGTGAGAAAATGGCCAAGAAATTGTGAGCTTTTAAACCTGTTAGATGTTAGTGAAAGCAAACAAGAATGTTTAATAATATGTCAACCACGCTGAAGGTATTTTGTACTTTTTTTATTATCGGTGCCTGCTTCGACATTCATTTTCTTTCCCATGGAGCATTAAAAACCTAATCCTAAAATCGGGAGATGATCATACAGAAACTAGTTGCCGTTTTATGCCCACAATGTCCTGCAAAAACTACTATAACTGCCTCTCATTGATGATTAGTATAAGATTGGTTGGTTGGTTGGTTGTTTACAGTAAAGACACGTAGGGTTATATGCTATGACCATCGAGGAGAATAGAACCCAGTATTTTAGCGTTGTAAGTGTGTGAACTTACCGCTGTCCCACCGAGGGACTTAACCAATATTGTACCTTTCGAATAATTCAACTTTTGTGCTTATCGGTTCACCCCTTGTAGAGAAATCTTCATTTGAAAATGAGTTTTTGTGTGTGTGTGTGTGAATGTCTTGGTGAAAGTTCATCGTTTTTTACAAAGTACTTTAGTAGAGAAGGCCTGAGAAAACACCCAAAGGTCATGTTTACTATAGTTTCAGTCGAAGGGTGTGATGTTTGCGTGTAATACAAACGTTGTGGATGCAGAGGTGAAGTTAAAGCGATAATAAATGAGAGGTCGCCTAAAAACGTTAGCATATAGTCAAATAAGGAAAGGGTAATTGCAAAACAGAAGAATTATTGAGATATTTTGTTCTTCGCATTGTAACCACTTTCAATGTTTGGATTGGTGAGCGATTTATAGATTTAGATATGACTGATCTGATATCAACCAACAAAAGATATAAGAAATGCTTGAATAACATTTATTAATGTTTCTATTAAGTGCGCAGAGTGTTCTCTATGTCATGAACATGTTAAAAACCATTCTTACAGAGCAAAACAAGGTATAAAATGGGATGGACTTAAGAAAAAATAGACCTGCTTTTGGAAAACTATTAATCAACAATATTTTTGGATGTTCATTTTGTTTTCGAAGCAAGAGATCGAACCCTAAACTCATGCAAAGTTTTTTTTTATCAAAAATTGGTCTATGGGATTTTCTCTTGTCCAAAGTTACAAATGTCAATTTCTGTACAATGAAATCAAGTATGCCTTCGGTGACCGAAAACAGATAAAGATGTTGTTGTTAAGCTCAAAAGCTTTTTTGCGTTATAAGCCCGAAGTCCTACCGTGGTAGCAGGTAAAGAATAACCGTTGTTTACAGTTTTGCAAAAGTTAAGTGGTATATTCGTTGATATTTATAAACGAGGGAGTCGGAGAATTATTTTTTGTATAAAACAAAGATATACTGGTTTTTTACCTACATTATTAGCATGCGAATATTGAAACTGACGTACTCAGCTTAAGATATGGACAGTCAAGATAGTTTACTTTAAGAGTTAAATTTGATCGTTTTAATTTTCAAACACTTTTCGTGTGAGGTATTTATATTACTATGGACTGATAATTAGAATTTCCATGATATGAGAAATCTGCTGAAATCATTAATGCACTATAAAATGTAATGTCCCAAATCAAACATTTTTGTTTCTTTTATAAAGGAACAGTGATAAAAATAGTCAAGTGTATTAAGGAGTTGATGCACTATAAAATGTAATGTCCCAAATCAAACATTTTTGTTTATTTTATAAAGGAACAGTGATAAAAATTAGTCAAGTGTATTAAGGAGTTGATGCACTATAAAATGTAATGTCCCAAATCAAACATTTTTGTTTCTTTTATAAAGGAACAGTAATAAAAATGGTCAAGTATTAAGGAGTTGTGCGTGTGTTCACTGTTTCTAATGCTTATGCATTTTTCATTTAGATTTCACGATGTCGGTGGTGACCAGTAATTTCCGAGTTTCTGCCAATACACCGAATTACGCCTACGTTTTCAACTTTGAACAAGACTTCGACCAGAGGGAGAATCGTGATTGGATGATAAATAACTGGTATCAAGCTTTTTATTTTGTCGGTGCTTACATGGTGTTTGTCTTTGGTGGACAGGCTTACATGCAGTCACGCCCTCGATACGAGTTACGACGTGTCCTGGCAGCTTGGAACGTTTTCCTTGCTGCGTTCAGTATCATTGGTACACTGCGCACGCTCCCAGAAATGATCCACGTTCTTCGGGAATATGGCTTACAACACTCCGTTTGCAACCCGAGCTTCATTGAACAGGTGAAGGTTAGTGGATTCTGGACATGGATGTTTACTCTCTCCAAGGTTCCTGAACTAGGCGACACCATCTTCATCATCCTCCGCAAGCAAAATCTGGTGTTTCTCCACTGGTACCATCACATCACTGTCCTCCTCTTTTCCTGGTATAGCTACGCAGAGCACATCGCTCCCGCCCGCTGGTACGTTGTCATGAACTACATCGTGCATTCCATCATGTACTCTTACTTTGCTCTACGTGCTCTACGTTACAATGTTCCTCGATATGTTGCCATGGTAATAACAACCTCACAGATCCTGCAGATGGTAGTGGGAGCTTATGTCAGCTATTTGGGCTACCAAGTAAAACTTCGAGGAGAGTTCTGTCAGATTTCTGAAGATACAGCAAAACTCGCCATTCTGATGTATCTGTCGTATTTTGTTCTTTTCGCCCGTTTATTTTATAATGCTTACTTACAACCAAAGAGAGGCAAGTTACAAAAATCAGAATAACTGATTTATTTAACAAATTATAGACAAATATTTTTAGTTGCGATAAAACTCTAGTTAAAAAACTTTTGCTTGTACTCGAGCTCCATTGAGAGTAAAGTGAATTGGTAATGACATTTAAACTGGTACGTCTGTACTTTAGACGCTTACTAGTTTCAGGACGTATAGAGTAAATTTTAGGCAAGATGGTAGAAAACACATTTGATTTTGTTAGACTGAAAATAGATTACAGCTAATATTCAATAGCTACAAGCATGATAGGTTGTGTGTGTGAGACTTAGTTTTGTCTCTGTATACACACACGTATATATATATATATAGAGAGAGAGAGAAAAAAAAAGATTGAATAGTGTATACATTATGTAACACAGTGGTTCTCAAACGTTTCAGGCTCGCTTACCACTTTTTTGTTTCATTTTTTTAAATTACAAACTAAAGTATAATATGAAAGAAAAGATAAAATCATAGTAAAAAAATCATATTTTGAACACTTACCCATTAATCAATCATGCACGATTGAAAATATGTGTTACCATTTTTGGTCAATTTTAAGGGAAGAAAATACTGGTGAGTCTATGCAGATAGAGGGTGAGTCTATAAGTGAGGAGAGTAGTATGTGTATGTACGTGGAAAGCTCAGATAGGGCTTTTTTACAAATTTTATTATTTTTTATATTAATTGTGTCGTGTATCGCCAACATTAACTCCACGTACCACAGTTTGAGAATCCCTGACGTAACACACTCACACTACAGCGAAATTCGTAAGTCCAAGTATGGCTACTGAAGTTTGACCTATATTAAAAAGCGTCACAAGAAGAGAAGGGAGATTCTAAAGTAAATCTTTATACTTTTTATTTCGAAACAAAGTCGTATACGTTTTTTAAACAAGTATTCCTTATACTCATGTTGACACAGTTTAGATGTTTGTCACAATATACATATATATGGGGTTTGGTATATTGTTTGTAAGAAAATGAATTGAGAGGAACGTGTGAGTAACTGATATATTCTTTTATAATAACTAACCTGTCTAATAGGATTATGAGATGTGTTGGGTCTTTTCCGCTTGGTGTCCACCAACAGTAATAAACGTCAATGTGGAACTCATCACCAAATGCTTGACTCTTATCTTTGTGAATATATATATTGAGAAATAGAAACAAAGATGAAGATTTATTCAAAAAATATTGTTTAATATCTCAGAATTCACTAAATAAATATCTTATGATGTTTTATTATTGATTATTTTATTTTATTGCATTACTGGTGTTATTTTCAAAACGATCTGTTGGTGGGCACCAAACGAACGGAAAAGACCCGATTTTTTTATTTTCTTAAAAATGCATGTATATCAAAGTTGACAGTGTAATTGAGTATGAAGTTTAATTAGTTTTTAGCTTTATATGTACGTTTATTGTTTGTTTGTTGGTTTTTTTAGCTATTTACCTAAGCATGATGCCCTGTCCTTATAGCAGTGTTTCCCAAAGTGGGAGGCGCGAAAATGGGCCGAAAACAAAGATGCTGAATTAATTTTAATTCTAAATAATAAGGCGATAAAAATTATGTTGAATTAATTAAATGATATAGTATGTTGAAAGAAGATGTTATTGTTTTTACTACGAAACTGTTTTTCAATCACCATGCTAACGTTATAGGTTGGGGGCTCAAAGTTTTGTTATTCACATCAAGGGAGCCTCAGACTAAAAGAGTTTAGGAACCATTGCCTTATAGTACTAATATTTCATACAATACTTTCTGAGCAACTCGTTGTAGCATATATAGCAGCTATTATGATACATATAACTTGTACTTTGCATACGTTGGGTCAACAAATGTGTAGATCGATAGTACTATCACTAACATCTGCTATAGTAGTGATTTTAAAGGTTAAAAAGCTCTGTGCAGCTACTTCTATAAAAGGAAGTGGTAGCTTAAATCATTTCGGCCTTTTCCCCCAGCAGACTTAAGAGAACTTTCTTAATGTTCTGATAAAATTGTATTTATGCATTTTCAATTGTATAACAGCGATTATAATGGTGGTAACGTCAACTAATAATTCATGACTACTTCATTACTGGTAGAAAAATATCTTGATGACCGAGGACCAAATTAGATAACCAGCGTAAAGTCGTAAATTCAAATGACTGAAGAGTCCAAGTCTATATTCCTGTGTAAAAGTATTGGAGTGTTCAGTTTTAACGTGTATTGATTGTCCGTGTTGTAATAATATGTTTTAACCTCGATCCTAAAGGATATATATTGCTAAATAATGTGTTTTATATGTTCAACATGTGCGTCCGCAGAAATTGGGGGGGGGGGAGCAAAGTAGTGTGAAATTGTGAAGTGAATAAAAAAATTCCTATACATATGATGAATGAATAAATAAATAATTATATTTCTCATCCCCCTTCCCTCCCCCGCGGACGCCCATGAACGTGTGCATCTAAATCAACAGAAATGGTTTTATCCATAGGGTTTGGGTATGTAAAAGTTGTGTATTTGCCGTTTACTTTGTTTTTAACAAAAAAGTACGTTACGATTGGTTATATGATATATCGATTAACCATCTGTGGAGTTTTTACAGGTTATCAGTAGTAAGATGGTAAGATCAGGTGACTACTGTTATATTTATTCTTTATTTCCAAAGAAAAGTGTTTAGTTGTGAAACTGACTATGAGCAATAAAGAAAAGGCTTAGGTAAACAAGTTATTCGTCTTGGATTACTGTTAAAATCTGTTTTACATGTACCCTTGATGAACGAAGATTTCTTTCAAAATTCTAAAATATGTTTTTTTACAGGACCTCATAAACTGTACACAATAACCGTTTATTCTGTTCCTCATAAACTAACATAACTCTCTCACTCAATTGTTTTTGTTTAGAAAATTGGGGAATGTAGTTCCCCACTCACCACCATTTAGTTTTGAATAGATCAAAGGGTGTATGTCGCTAATACTTTTAACTGTTTGGTTTGGTTGTTGATAAGCATAAAGTTGGGCTATCTGTACTCTGCCCTCCACGGGTATCAAACTTTTAACTGTGCGCTGAAACAAAATATTCGCTGTAGTATTTCGTAATATGATATAACTATTATTTTCACAGCTTTTACTTTTTATTTCTGGCACAAACTGACGGCAACTAATTACACAATTTCCTTGCGAGTTAGTAAGGTGGTATGAAGTATCTGATCCGATATTATATAATCCACTAAGTGATAGTTAACTATGGAATATCTAAAACACACATAAAGCCCTTAAAAAATGCACTCGGAAATCACAGCATTGATTATTTAAGCTTACTGCCCCTCAGTAGCTCAGCGGTAAGTCTGAAAGCTTATAAACTCTTAAAAACGGGGTTTCAATATTCGTGATAGGCACAACACCGATATCACATTGTGCAGCTTTTCGCTTAACAATAAACTAAACTTACTAGCATAAAATATCCGCTTTCCGCTATGGGGTTCAAAGGACCCCTTCATGATTCACAGAGATTCCAATGTTCAAATCAAGCTTTTTTATTATTCCCAGTTAGTTCTATTGCTACCACAAGGGGGTCCGTACCAGATAAAAAGCCAATTAGGACACCCGCCCGTGGCATCTGAGCACGAGTACCAAGTGTAATCCCACTAGCTATTGAGTGAGGTATAAAAACACTCTCCAACATGGCGTCTCCGGTATCCTGACGGTAGACTGAAAATATAAAACGTGTATATAAGATTCAGACTCGGCGACCCTGAAAACCTATTCATAGACTCTCATGACGGCCACATGACCTTTTGGGTATGTTTTAACCTTCGCGGCAATGTGAACTAATATAGAATTTGTAATCAAATGTAAATAGCTCATATGTTATTTTTAGTTTCCTAAATAGTACAGAAACAAAGGTGATTTCTTTTCCCAACACTTAAACTTGATGTGCTTCTGGTTGGAATAAAATAAATGTTTCTAGCTCACAATTTTAAGTAATCAATTGGATATGACATGACTTTTACACACAAAGAAAATATAAACACTTGAATTTTACTTAGGCTTAATTACTGAAACATAAAACTCTATGAAACAGACGAGTTTAATATCTTCTTCTCTTTAATAACCGAAACCGTTGTTCACCATCCTCTTAATAGTCATCCTGTCTTTCAGAGTTCCAGAGTAGTCTCCTGAACAACTACACGGATGTTTAATATCCAATTATGTAATTAAGTTAAAAGTTTTTTAGTGAGAGTCGCCCCCAGTGGTTCAGCGGAAAGTCTGAAGACTTATAACGCTAAAAAGCGGGTTTCGATACCTGTGGTGAACACAGCACAGACTGCCCATTGTGTAGCTTTGTGCTTAACAACGAATGAACTGTGAGAGATCTTTCGAGGCTACAATGCAGCAACTCTTGCCTAGCGAGTGCAAATTGTCTTTCGTGGTAAATGAATAACAGTTTATAACACCACTTTAAATTCTGTGTGGAATCGTGTTATTTAACGCAGTAATTAAAAAATGATAGCAGAAAATACTTTTAGTTATCATATATATATTTTTCTCACTTTCCAACAATTTTCTTATATTTATAAGACGGAGGTTAACAGCAATTTTTCATACACTCTGTAAAAAGTCTTGTGTAATATTTTTAGTTCATGATTACTAAACACACTTCAAAAATGTAGTTTTAATACTTCTATAATTGAATCATAGCTCTGTGTTCTCTCCCCCCCCCGCCAAAGTGGCTCTACGAAAATATTACGAGTTTATAGAGCCGGGATTGGATGTTCGATCCCTGTGGTGGGCATTATGCAACATTGAGATTAACAACAGATACACACAGCTTTATTAGTAATATATATTTCTTAAACATAACAACAACAAAGGCATTTATACACACCTGTCAATGCAACGTATTAATTCCTCACAGTTCTCTTTGTTTTTTAAACAAACAAACATAAAACGCATTCTACAAAACCTAGAAGTCCAAGCAATTAATTAAAAGCTCGAACACTTTCGAAGAGTGGTGCGAATGCATGTTGGATTTCTGTTCCTTTTATTCAGAGGTCAAAAAGTAAACTAGTCTGCCTCTACTCTTTATTTTGCTCCTAATAAAAGAAAAGACCACTTTTAGAAAGTGCTGTAGCTTTGGGGTAACGTTTGGACTTTTATAATCATTTTATAGTGGTTCATTGTGGCTCCGAAGTGTACAGATATATTTCTGACATTACCGATCCAATTGGAGAGCTTTTGGCCGTTAGAGTTTGGTAGAAAGAGATAAGATATATATATATATATTGTTACGACATCGAGGTCACGTGACTAGTATCACGCCACGTCGTTCTCGAACATTCACGTCCTTTCC